AAAAAGTCAGAACCTTAAATGCTGAAAAGCACCAAATGTGTTATAAATGTAAATATACCAATGCTTTTACTGCATTTGCATTTTAATAACTGCACTTTGCAGACTTTTTGAGAGTTATGAATGCTAGACCATTTGTATTCAAGAGAATCAAGGCATTTATGTGTAGTAACCCTGGATCTAGCAACTCTTTGATTTTGTAGGTCACTCTGTAATGAAAAAATAATTTAGGGAAAAACAGTAGTTTTCCCTAAAATATTCCTTTCTGATAAGCTGTTTGTTTTTTGTTTGTTTGTTTGTTTGTTTTTTAAATTTTCAATAAAGAGAATATATTCTACTTTGTGCTACATCTTTTTGTATGCAGTGCTTAAGCTTGTTAGGGCAGGAATTTAATTGACTATTGATTGCATTTGTCCTTTTGTGAAGTGTTTGGCATACTAATAGAGCATTGTAAATTATTATGTAAAAACATTATTAATATGCTTTATTTGATTTTCTTCAGGATTCAACTGAAATGGTGATTAACATGGCAAATTTCCAAGAAGCTTTTAAAAAAATTCAACCATCCTCGTTTCGAAGTGTAATTGGACTAAAAGAGTGTAAGCCAGTCACTTGGGAGCAAATAGGTGGTCTTGAAGATGTAAAACTGAAGTTAAAACAGGTAATGTATAAAATGTATTTAGATAAAAAGGCAGTTTATGGCCATATGTTCCAAGGTGTTCCATGTGCTACGTTATAGAAATGTATTGTCTAGCAAATTACATGATTCTAAATTGTATTCTAAACACTATTTTCTACTACATTAAGTTATTGTAGTGCTTGTGATTTAAAAACCTTCCTGCCCCAGGATAACAGCAGTAATACCATGAAATAATTATCATGCTTTCCAGTATCTGAAAAACTCTGCAACAGTACATTTCTGAGTTTGTAGCCAGATGTGGCTCTTGCATGTCATTCTTCAAGGATTGCCTTTTATTCTGTTTGAGACTGAGAGGAAACTTCAAGAAGGAGGGAAAGGGAACGAGGATGTCTTTTCATACCAAGAAAGACTGTATTAGTATTCTGTGTTGATTTAAAATTAATGCATGAACCAAAGAGAGAAATATTTTGCTTAGCTGCTTTATTGATTGGCTGTGAACTCTAGTTCCTTTACTGAGAATTTCATCCCTTTTTTATGTATTGACAGTGCATTGAGTGGCCTATGAAATTTCCTCAGGCATTTGCTAGGATGGGCCTGTCTCGTCCAAAGGGTGTTCTTCTCTATGGGCCGTCAGGGTGTGCCAAAACCAAACTGGTGAGGGCTGTGGCCACAAGTTGTCACTGTTCCTTTCTTTCTGTAAGTGGTGCTGACCTTTTCTCACCTTACGTTGGAGATTCAGAGAAGATTTTGTCTCAGGTACAGTTTTTAATTTATATGAGATCTAAAGTTTATTTTTGCCTGTTTTTTATGAAGTGTAAGTTAGGCCTAAATTTTGCTATTGGAAAAATGATAGTTAAAATTTACCTAGTTTTGAAATAGAAAAAGATAATGCTTTTACATTTGTGTAAATGGAGAATCTAACCCTAAAATGATACCAGTTTTAAACTTTGAAAGTATTTCTACCCCTCTTGTTGTTAGTTCACATAAGAATTTAATTAAAAAGCAGAATCTGTCTGTAGTAAATGTAATCCAGAATGGCTTTTTGAATGAATGCATCTTATTTTGTGAAATAATTTATCTTTAAAGTTGCATAATTAAGTCAAAATACAGAGTGAATGTAAACAGGTGATTTCACCTTACCCAGTAGAAAGTATGCATTAACATTTTATTCTATCAATCCAAAAATAGGTATTTTGCCAAGCAAGAGCAAGTACTCCAGCAATAATATTCCTAGATGAGATTGATTCTATCTTAGGATCTCGGTCACACCATAAAACTGGCCATGGTGTCTCAGAACGAGTTCTTTCTGTTCTTCTTAATGAGTTGGATGGCATTGGACTGAAAGTCACAGAAAGGAGAGGAAATAAACTACAGCTTGAGGGCCAATGTCAAGAATTAAGTGACGAGGAAAGACAGGTAATTTTTTAGTTGTTGGCATTCATGTTTTTAAACTTAAAATCCTTAGGCTTAAAAACGTGCTATTCTATTCTGTCATTGTTTCTGATTTTTATAAAATACCATTTATAGATTGCTGGTTTTGTATATGCTGTTCATCAGTGAGACTTTCTCCAAGCAAAATACCCATACGCAAAATATTAATATAAAATAATAAAATGCTATATATAATGATATATAAAATATCGATATTAAAAGGGAAATAGACTCATACAGAGATGCATTTTCTTCTTTCCCCTTTTATTTTCTTACTAGTAGTTAACAAAAGTCTTTAGATATTACCTGTCTTATCCATGTTGCACTAACTTGTTTATATAATCTCTTTACTCAGCTAGAGTTTCAGGAAACTTTGAACAAAGATGTCATGGTAGTTGCTGCAACAAATAGACCAGATATGTTGGATGATGCTTTACTGCGTCCTGGAAGGCTAGACAGGGTGATCTATATTCCACCTCCAGATCTTAAGGTGATGTATTACAAATCCATATGTGGCTTCAAATGGAGAAAGAGAAATTGCCAGCATACTTTAATTCAGGAGTAAAGGGGAAATATTCCAATAATATAAATATATTATAGGAATATATATTCATTATATAGTAAAAAATTGATGGATGGTTCACGAAAATGAGTCACCAGATTCAAAGTACATGAAGTTTAAAAAGGAATAATCCTATTTGTAATTTAAATACCAGTAATTTTTGAACTGGTGCATGTAGTTACACTATTGCATATAGAAAACAGCCAAAAATCTGAAATAATTCTTTATTTACAGAATCAAGCTGCAGTTTAGGAAGTATCATAACAAGTTAGCTGTCCTTGCTTCAGATCTCTTGTGCCCTGTAAATGCTCAGTGGTATAACTATTTGCCCTGAGCCGCTCAAAAAGAAGAGATGACCCACAGCAGGACAAATATGGAACTTTCAGTGTAAAATAGCATTTTCGTGAAGTAATGAGCAACTCTGAATACCAGACTTTAATATATGAGATAACCGCAAGAGTGAATATTTCCATTAATAGTATTTTGTTTACTCTTTCACCAGAAATATGGTAGTTCTGCTTTTGGTAATTTCCCAGATCTTTCTTAGTTCTGATTTCAGATTTTTTTATTGTTTTGGAGTGGGAGTAAGTGTTACTTTGTTTGGTTTTGTTTTCTCATTTAATATATACCAACTTACAGGGAAGGCTTTCCATTTTGAAAATTTGCACGGAAAAAATTCCATTAGATTCTGATGTGGCACTGCAAGATTTAGGAGTCCTAACAGACCTCTTCTCTGGAGCTGATATTGAAAATTTGTGCAAGGAGGTATGAAATATTCATAGTAAATCTGTGAAATAAACTATAAATTATACCTTTCAATGAAAATAGTTAACTTATAGAGGTTACCAAGCCTCTAGAATAATCTGTAGTACAGATTATTCCACCGCTGAAAATAAAGAGAATGAATAAAACAGGAGTGAACAAGAATTCTTTAAATAAAAATCCAAATAAATATAAAGGGTTTCTTTGATAATTTACTGGTAGAAGTTATTCTACTGGCATAAGTGTGAGCTGTACTACCTTTTATTTCATGTGGCTTTTTGTAATGCAGGCTCACATCTGGAGAAATCATATTTTGTGTACTGCAAGCAACTGCGGCATTATTAGCTGAAAGCAGCATGTACTGTCAAGGCTAGAGTGGAAAAAAATAGAACAGTCCATAAATACTTGAGCAAAGTTATATTGAAAGCAGAAAAAAAAAAAATGGAAGAAAATCCAATATGTAAATGATCAAGGATACGTTTTCTAATACAGACAAAAAGTAAATGTGAAATTTACATTAGTCTTACCTGGTGGTGTATTTAGTGATAAATATAATTCAGACAAAGTATCTGAGAACAGCATTGTATAAAATTTAGTTTCATGTAAAATGTTTTAAAATACTTGCAGTAACTTTTTTGTGAGTTAATATTATAAGCATTTCAAGCTTTTTTTTTTCTTTTCTTTTCTAAAGGCTGCTTTGTTGGCGTTGCAAGAGAATGGACTTGAAGCAACTACTGTAAAACATGAGCATTTTGTACAATCACTGAGGACTGTAAAACCGTCTTTAAGCACAAAAGACTTGGAATTTTATGAAAAATTTTATAATCAAGAATTAACATCTTGAATCAAAAAGGAATGATATGGCATACATATTTTTAAATATATCACGAAGACTGAGAGTTGAAGCATTTTGTATCTTTCCTGCTTTTTCATACTGTACTTACTGTAGTTTTCAATCTGTATGAAATACAGTAAAATTTCACGGGTAAAAAATGCATAATGTCAGTAATGAATAAACTGAAGCCATGGTTGCTTGGGCTAGGTTTCCATTGCATGACGTGGATCGTTGAGATAGTTAGGTGGAGTACTACAGAACAGCTTTGTTTTACTATACATTTCCTAGTTTTGATTATAAACACTGGCACAGTAAGTATATTTGATTTAAAATGTGAAGTCTGAAAAGGACAGAGTGACTACTGAAGGCAGAAAAGCTTTCAGAATGTGAAGTATGAGAAACCAAGCTCCATACTATGCAAAAAGATAAGCCGTTCCATATGTGCATATCTAAAGGCTTGCTTTCTCAAAGGCAGGTTAAAAGCTTAGGGCCACGGTTAAGTTTTTGCTGCAGCAGCTGGGCCAGACTTCAGCTGGGCTCCATTTTCGGTCCATGAAACGCTCGCCCAGCCCTGAAGCGAGGCAGGCCGCGGCCTTTGCCCTGACGTGATGTTCGTCGGGCAGCAGGGCTGGAGCGAGGGGAGCCTCCCGTCAGGGGCCGGCGTCGCTCCCCTCAGGAGCCGGGGACACCCGCCGGGGGGCGCGCGCGCTTCTCGCGCCGCTGCTCCGGGCGTTGCGGGAGCGCGTTTGCGGGGACCTCCCCGCCTGTATAAAGCGCAGGGCGCGGCGCCCCGTGCCGCTGTCCCGCCGCAGTGCTGCCAGGCTCGCTCGTTTGCCGTCCCGTCAGGTAACGCCGCGCCCGGGGGGTGCCCAGGTTCGGTAACAGCCCTGTTTGTTCCAGGTCCGCAGCCACAGCGAGGATGAACACGAATTTCTTCCACATAATCAAATCGAAAAAAGAAGTAAGTGCCTCGGGTCGCTTCAGAGCCCCGGCGGCGGCTGTGCTGAGGTGGGCGCCCCGAGACCGGGGGCTGCCACCTGAGGTGCGGCCCCTGAGGGCTTGGGAAGCTCGGCCTGCCGCCGGGCCCCCTGCCCTACAAATCCCTCCCGAGCTCAGCCAGGACAGGGAGCTCCTCAACTCTTCTGCACATCGTGTCTTTCAGCTCATTCCCCTGGTTGGAGTCGTGTCTTTCGCAGCAGTTGGGGCTGTTGCTTTCTCTGCCTATTCCCTCTTCAGCAAGTCTGATGTGATGTAAGCGAAATACTGCTCGGATTTATGCTGGTTTGTTCATCTCTGCGGAGGCAGTTGACAGTTACGTTTTCCTGAGAGAAAAAAAAAAAAAAAAAAAAAAAAGAAAATCCAAGTGCTTGTTCCAAAGTACTAGGAAAGATTAAGACATCTACACACTTTAAATACTGAAAAATTAATAAATATAGTGTAATGCAGATGGCTTCCCAACTTAAGATTTAATAGATAATATTTATTTTTCTTGGCTTTAGGTGTAATAGGTTTTAGTTGTTCTCAGACAATTGGGTAGAGGCCATTCAGATATGGGGCGAGCAGGCTGTATCTAAAGAACAGTATTTGCAAATACAAAATTACAACAAGTTAAACTGGAGCCAAGTCCTTCACTCTCTAAGCTTTTGGGATATTTTGTATTTACTTTAAAGTGACTAAAATAGACAATTTTAGCCATCAGGATCAGAATCCCCTTTTTATTTGCATCTTTATTCAGTTTTGATTTACAGCTTTTTTGTCTAATGTTAGATAATACATTTATACTCAAACAATATTGGCATGTTGGTGCTTTGGAAGTTACAAATAAAGCAAGCCGTAATTGATGCCTAACCAGAATTTAAAATACAGAGTTGACCAAACCTGTAAACATGTGTTTCAAGGAGCTACTTATGTGAATAGTTCTACTGCTAATAGATTCCTCGTGTAGAAAAGTATGTGCAAGTTCACACCCTAAAACATAGTACCTAGTTTGCTTTCTTCTCTTAAAGCATTAACAAGACTGGCAATCCAGAGCCATGGGAAACTATTGATCCTACCCGGCCTCAGAAGGTAATTAATGTGAATAATACAGTCAGTGTAAATAGCATATTTTTTCCAATACAATAACTATAATGTGTAAGAACTAGCAAAATATGGATGAGGAAAAAATGTAAAGCTGAAATCTATTTAAAAGTAGAAATGATTGCATAGCTCATTACTTTATCTAAAGAACTTTCCCTACGTTAATGATAGTAATTAAGGTATTTCCTTCTCGGTCAACTGCTGAATTTGTGGTCTATTTGTTGGTGTTGGCCCCCACAACATCCACTTACTCAATTCCATCGATAACAGTAGATATATGGACTGTAGAGGAAATACTGTTTACATTTGCATTGTTCCTGAATTACAAAATTGACTGAGAATGGCTTATTGGGTATTATAACTGTAAGGAAAAAAAAAATCTTAGTTTAGTAGAGCACCTAGGACAAGGAAAAATACAATTATCTGTGAATAATATTTGGGTTTATTATTTTATTAATATCAAAGTGATTTTGTTCAACAAATCATTGGATGTGATATTGTTATTTTTGCTTATTTTTACTAGGAAAATATAAAGCTATTAGAAATCCTTTATCACCAATAAGTTGATATGTGGTGTTGTGGGGAGAAGACTAACATTTTATTGACAGTGGACTTAAGTACTGAGGGTTTGCTAATTTTTTCCATGATTTCTTTTGAATCCAGCTATTAACAATCCATCAGAAATGGAAACCCATAGAAGAGTTGGAAAACGTCAGAAAGCTTACAAAGTGACAAGTTTCTGTTGGCTCTAAAAGGTACTCTATGAATCTAGTGGAATCACTTCTGCACAAACTTGACTACTGAAATCAGTGTGCGGAAATGCTTCTGCTACGTTTTTAGGGTCTCCCTACATTTTTTGGACTCTGGATGAGGAGTTTCATTTTGCCTTAGAAGTTGGCATACAACATCCATGTAGTCCAAAAACCTGTTTCAGAGCTCATTTTCAGGTTGCATTTGATGTCAGATATTGAAGATTCAGATGGTAATTACATATGGAAAAAACCTTCACCCTTTTTGTAGAATTTTATTATCTCAAAATACATCAGTTTTGTAATTTTACAGTGTTTTTTAATAAAATTGTTTAACCTTTGCAATGTTATATGTAAATTCCATACATGGGAATTACCCAAAAGCCCTTCTAAATTAAGATTCTTGGTCTGCTCCCTCTTTATCCTATATTTTAATGCAGCATGCATATTGTATTCAGACTAAATAGTCGTCATAGCCAGAGGATGTCTATGTATGGCAACATATGTCATAAAATAAACTTGTATTTATTTCCTACATTAGATGTGATAACGTAAGATGAAGTTAAGATAAGGTTCTATTCCTAATACTAAAACTTGTACATGTGCACAGCGTAATCCACCAGGGAGTCTTATATGTTACTTGAGACTGCGGGATTAACACATAAGACTTTAGCATGGCTAAAAGGGATTTAGAAATGAGAGAATTTCTGTTATATTTAAATATTGCTCCTGTTTAAACTTAGAAAAAAATGCTAGAATTGGGAAACACACTACCCAAAACCACTTATAATGTTAATTTCTTCATCTTGTGGGAGGTAGTTCAAGCTTAAATTTGCAGCACAGTTTTGGTGATTTTTTTGTTTGTTTTGTTTGTATTTAAATAGATATTAGTGACCTCTGCTTTAACAAAGAGAAAATAACACAGATTAAAGTTAGGAATGACTCCACATAAAGACTTTCTCTTTAGTTTCCTTACAAGTGAATTGGCTAGGGAAAGGATGCCATAATCCCAACAAATTAATGATCTATGTATATCCAATGGTGAAACAGTCCTTTTGTGGGTATTTTCTGTATGTTTTCCTTGCAAGCCTTTTCATATATATTACATAGTTTCTTCTACACTGGATGATCAGAATGCATGTTATTTGCTGAGAGGAAGAAAGCAAAACTGAAACAAGTTGATTTGAGGAAATCCCCTTTCAAGTGTGTAATAGTGAGCCTAGTGCTGTAGCTTCCTCTGCTGTAGCAAAGACAAAACAAGTTAGTAAAACTGTCTCCAAAATCTTAAGGTAGGTTGGCTTCAAAGACTTCAAGGTTTTTAAAGAATTTTTTGATGCTGAGAAGAAGTTAAAGAGTTACTTATTCCACACTTGTGTGCAGATACAGCATATTTAATATGTAAGTATGACTCAGCAGCATTTATATTTAAGAGTGAAAGGAACAACAGGACTTCAGAATACATGCTTAGCTTTCATTTTAAGTCATGACATTACAAGACAAGCAGGTAGTATATAACTACAAATATCTAGTGTTCTGGGGAATAAACTTTTAATCATTTAAATAGAGAAATGTTTCAAAATATTTTCTGTAAGTTACTGTGTATTTACATATGTTGCTCTATTACATTAAAAGATGTGCTGTGCTGTGCTCTAAGTTCATGCATGAATTAAATGAGTTTGTCCTTAAGTAAATTACGTGTATGGTCTTTGAATACTATTACTTCTTTTGACCTAAGTATGTCAACATTAAGGAAACAAGTCATTTTTACATGATTTTTGTACTTAAACACTTTTCATTGGTGTCTTCCAGTAGGTGCATTAGGCAGTGTGACTACATGTCAGTCCCAGGTTATTGCTTCTCATTTTCTCTTAGGGCATAATAGCAAAAGTAATAATACAATGTTTTGCTTGTTCCCTGCATCCTTTAAAAAACAAAAAACATAGATTTGTGGAAAGGGTTTTCACATAATGTGAGAAATCATCGTCTCTTCGTATACTTCAAAAAGATTATGAGGATTGTCCAAGTCCTTGGGACAACTTTTTGAGTTCTCAGATCATCCCTAAGAATATTCTGTCTGCTGTATTGATGAGATTACTCCCGTAAGTAGGGAATATCAAGGCCAGTTGCTATATCTACCCACCGGAACTGCTCAACATAAAGCAATAAAGCAATATACAGGTTATTTCCTTATTCTGCAAACATCAGAGTTAAGACAGTAAAGATTTAATCCGTTGAATTTTATGAGTTTACTTTTATGAGAACAGTAAGATTTCCTTGTCCTGTGTAATGCAAACCCATGACTTTTTATTCTTTGTGCAATTTAAAGGCTGTTGAAATAAATTTCACTTCTTTCTTTCTTTCTTCTCTCCATTCTTTTCTACTTCTGCATCCTACTTAAACTTCTGTTCTAGGTTTTTGTTTTTTAAACAATTGCTGTCTTCACTCACCCTGGCTAGTACTTTTCCATGGAGCTATATCACTTCCAACTATCATATTAATTACAAAGTTTCATTAAAATGCTCATTGGCTTGTTAAAATTTCAAATCTGGATTAAAAACCATTAGCAATGATTTTTAATGGTGCTAATCACCATCACAATCATTAGAATCTATACAAGTTATGCTTTTCTACAGCTGGTTGATAACTATTAAAGCCCATTTGTAAATAGGTTTCTGGAAGAATAGAAGGTTGCTTTCTGCAGTATGCATGCAAACTGAAGCAATAATTGTGTCCCCCCAAAAAATAAAATTTGGGGCAAGAAAAGTTTATGTAATTTTGTAAATAGACAAATCCATCAGTTCAAACAATCCGCAGAAACTTAACAAATGTTTAAAGCCTTGCTTTCAAGGAGCAGTACCATACAGGGGAACCTGAGTGCTACTGTCTGTTCTTGGGTCTGATTCAGGCTTTATAAAATGCCAGCTCTTTCAGCCTTCTAAAATACTTCCTTTTTGTTTTAGGAGTCATTAAAAAATTCCTGATCTGTATTTCACTTACTGTCTCCCAGGCTTTCACTAAGATACTTATCTTTTCTTTAGTTAATAAGAGAGCTAGGCCCCAAGAAGGATAAAGCATAACTGTCAACCTCATTTTAGCCTCTACCCTTTCTCCATCTTATCTGATACACCTTTAAACATACATATCCTTAAAGGAGCCATGACATGGGACAAGCTTGATGGCCTGGCTGTAAGGACCATTACTTCATGTATTAACTCTGTAAGTTCACAAAATCTTTGAGCAAAATTTCAAATGCTCTGAATTCATTTTAACTTCCAGAAAGTGAAGCCTAACAATCAAAATATATATATATTCTTTGCTATGTATGTTTATTTTAATTGCAATTCTTTGTTATTACAGTAGTACTTAAAGGCTTAAACAGAACGATACAAGATTTATGGGATCCAAGACCTGTGCTGAGTTTCTCCTTTGGTTTTCTTTGCATATGATAGCCTCCGTGTCAGCATTTCTCTGCCTGACAGGCCTACCCCTCCATGTTTCTCCACTGCAAATAGTTTACTACCTAGTTATTTCATTGGTGCATGTAATTTCTGTAGTAAGTAGTTATTTACAGTGGGGCCTGTTGCAATCATTAAAGGAAATTGTTCATCCTCCGGTTGTCATCTGTCTCAGTGCAGAGGGCTCTTGCCCCTAGGGCTAACTGTAGAAAACAAACAAGAGTAATGGGAATGATTCACGGGTTCTGGCCGCTGTTTGGTGTTGGATGCTTCCCAAAAAAGCTTTCAGATTAAACAAACATGGCCACACTACTCAGCACAGTTTTAATTCATTGTCTGAAGTCCTTCAGTGTATAGCACATGCCTGCCATACAGGCAGCACACAAGATAACACCATCACTTGAAAGCCTGACTGAAATGGAAATGGAGAAGCATTAGTGAAGAAGAAGACCTGGTGAGCTGTGGCTGGACTCGGCAACTATTTACATTCAGGTGCTGATTTGAATAGACAGCAAGCAGATTGTTTGCTGAAAGCACTCTGCCATCATAAAATAGCCTTCACCACAAATTACACCCTTCAGGGAAAGTCCAGAGTGAACAGGTACCTATGGGCCTCACCCCGTGCAAAGATCAGACACCCTTGTGGCATTTCATGGAGGCTCTATCAACCCTATTCATTCTGTACTTTGGCCTAGCAATCAAAGGATTTCAGTTTAATAATGTGTTACTTTCAGATAACATTATATGTCAATTCTTGCCAGCAACGTCCTCCTGTAGAATTAATGAGGGATTTGCGGTGCCCTCTAAGGATACCTCACAGAGACAAACTCCATTACATGTTAAGCCAACATGAGAGAGCAGCTGTCCAGCGGCTGTTACTCGCCACCACACTGAAGGGGAATCCTGAGGGATCCTCCATGCCCCATGGCTGCCGGCTGCCATCTCCCTCAGCCACCTCTCAGTGGAGAGGAGGGAGCACAGGGTTGCCTGCCGCTGGTGGGTAATGGTGGGACACAGGGCTTTCATTAGCACTTCATTAAGGAGGTGCAGTAAGTGCTATGTGGGTTCTTCCCTTCTCTGTGAGGCAGGGGAGGGCAGAAGGATGAGCCTCGACGTGCATTGCTGTCAGACCACCTGTGGGAGGCTGTGAGCCCTCAGTAGGGCTGACGATTGCAGCAAGGAGAGAAGAGGTACGAAGAGAGTAAACTTGCCACACCTGGGTTCTGTGTAAATACACCATTTTTAGGTGGGAGGACTGAGGAGGTAAACTTTCTGTGGTGGTGTGCTGTCTCAAGTAGTTTGTGAGGTAAAGGATTTCTCTGTATAGCAAATAAGGGAGATTCTAGGAAATAGTATCTGTGGGGTTAGGAGATGATAGGGTTTGATTTGGTGTGATGAAGCAGAGTTAGCAAGTCAGAGTCCCAGAAGTAATTTCTCTGGGCTTGTCATGTGCTGGTCTAAAAATAAAACAGAAGTCTCATCAAACAGCAGTGGGAGCATGTGCAGAAGTGCTTGCTTTTGTTTTGCTCTTGCCTACACCTAAGTCTGGCAAGGTCAGGTCACCTGTGTGACACAAGTGCTGTGGGGCTGGGCTGAGGCCACCTGCCTGGCCACATGCCACATGGCACAGCAGGCCCATGCTGCTCAAGTCATCTCTTGTACTCAGGCCACAGCTTCCACCCTGTGGCATGTGGCTCCTCATGAAATGGCCAGGCTGGACTGGAGACACCAGGGCCTACTGTGATATGTGGCTGTGCCATCTGTCTGGGTGATGGGCCTTGATGCCTGTGTGTGGCTATGCACCTGCTCTGGGCAGCAGATCTGCTGCTGCTGGTGGCCAAGGTTTGGCCCCATATGTAACACTTCCTAAAATCCTTTTGTCTAAATACATTAGACTTCACAATGTGATGTTTTAAGATAAAGCCAGTCATCCTTGTGACCTTGGTCCTGTAGTACTTAGAAAGTGTTTGTGCTAGTATATTAAAATTCAGATAAATGTGTATCCAGCTTTATAAGCTTCAAGCAATTGAAAACAGGTCTCTTCAACTTCAAACATTTGATCCCTACTATATCAGAAAACAGGTATTACTTGATTTCTACCTCTCACACCCTCCTATTTGCTGCAGAAACTCCTTCTTTGTTTCCCTTGCTGACACATTTTTTTTTCCTCATGCTATGTCTCTCTTTCATCCACCAAAACAATATAAGAAAAACATAGAATTGTCTTGGTCTAACTTGCTTACGCTGTTAGTTCTGTTTATTAGTATATACCTGTACTGTGCTATAGAAAGTTAAACATGTAAAATTATTAGATCAATTTATAATTAGGCTGGTGATTTAAACTCAGAAATTATGAAAAAAAAAAAAAAAAAAAGGAAAAAATAAACCCACCACAGTCATGACTTTAGTAAGAATGTTTTCTTTATTTTTTTTTTGTAACAGTGGTAAAGATGCATAATCTGAGCTCTTTAATCAAAGATTTCTGTACTTTCTCTATGTGCTTTAAAAACAGCAGATACTGAATAATTGTTTTCCAGTTTTGAAAATAAAATTTTAATTTGCCTCATACATAAGTATGCTTTGTCTCACTTAAAACTCAGGTAAAACAGTTTTTTTCTTTAAATTTGTAAACATATTAATATTGTATTGTTAGGTGGGTTCCATTTCACTGAAAACTATTTGTTAATTATGTTGATGTGGAAAACTAAAGACAGTGTCTGCTAATAATATTATGGGATTCTCTTCCTTACTTAATATCTTCAGAACGTCTTTTGCTTTGAGTAAGATCTGTTTTCTGACTGAAATCTGATTGATCCGGTTGTTTTCTGACAATAAAATGTGAAAGTGACATGTTCATGTTCTGAAACCACAAACTTGAAGTGGCAAGTAGTTGCTTATTCCTAAATACTGTGAATTGTGTGGATTCCTGTAGCCTTGCAGACCATGATGGTGACAGTCGAAGCAACAGCTGTGAAACTGTTTTTTCCCTTTCGTATCTTCTTTTATGTTTGGTGGTGGTTTTGTTTGTTTGTTTGTTTGTTTTTTAAGTAAATTCAGAAACATTATTTTTTAGGCTAGCACTCACTCAGCCAGAGTTTTGCTGGCTTCATGAAGCAGGGCAGGGGGTGGTAGCTTTTGAATTTGTGACTTTACACAGCAGTTCGTTTTTTTCGTATTTTGAAAGCAGAATTCTCTGCTGGAGTGAGTTTTGTACAGACATTGATGATATCAGATGG